CTTCAAAGTTGCTCTCGTGAAGGGGAAAGTGATGAGAGTCGTCAATGCAACCTTCTTGTTTATCCTCACCACGGGAGCTCTCCGGGGTGAGTTCTTCTTGCTCCACACGGTTGTCATTGATTTCTCCTTCAAACTCCTCTTTCTCCTCCAATGATAAGAGGCGATAGCTTGCAAAAGCTCGTGTCACCTTCTCTTCAAGTGTCAAATCGGGTGGAGGGAGGGGTTGGAAATCCATGCCAGAGCTCATTCCTCCAAAGTTCTCATGGCTTGCCTCTTTGACCTCCTCTCTTCCTTCCAATGGTAGGAGGCGATTGTGAGCAAGTTGTGCACATGCTTGCTCAACAAGCCCTCCTAGCCTCTCCATGAGTCGAAGTAGTTCCTCCAATTTTCATAGGAAGGATGAGTCGATAGGGTCGGGGATTGGAAGGTCCGAATTGGCGCATTCTTCATCGGTACCCCGAGCAAATTGCTCCACCATGAGCTCCAAGTTGGTCTTTGGCTCCGGTTGTGGAGTGGCACGTGGTCTTGAGGAATTCCCCATGAAAGATTCTATTGCCAACTCCAACTTGGATTTCTCCTCGGGTTGTGGAGGTAAGCCTTCTTTGTATGGGAAGCTTCTTGATACCCCCATTGGTATGTTTGTTCTTGGAAGGGAGGTTGATCATATAACTCGGTTCCTTGGCTTCCACCTTCTTGGTCACTCCATGAAGCTCCGAGGTACCCCCATTCGGGTGGTTGTGGATACCCCCACATGTTGTAGAAGCCATTCGGATCCATGATTCAACCTACTGACACGCTAAAACACAGTACCTAACAATGGCCAAGTGTAACCAATGAAAGGGACTGCAGTATAGTGGCACAAGTAATAAATATCGACTCCACGTGTCTCTAGAGTTACTATTACTCAGCTTCAGTTCATTATCTAGAAAACTAGATTAAGGATTGATTTATAAACTACTCTACTGACTACTCTACTAATTACAAGTTGGGCACTCACTTAGGTATGATTCCACCTAGCTCCTCAATTAGGTCAAAGTTGCAATTACCTTTGGTTGATCTATTGTTGATTAAACTGCGGAAGATCCTAAATTAGTTTGGAATCTCTTAAGTTGACCAAGCCCTCTCAGACAGAATACCCGACATGCGACTAGCCTTCACCGGGATAGACTGCTAAGGCGATTCACACAGATCTCCACTACTGGAATGAATTCCAGTACAAAGTAGTGAATTGGTTGACTCTCGCACAACCAATTCACCACTATCAATCAAGGAAGCTCTCTTAACCTAATCAGATTCTATCTATCATAGGTTAAAGCAGAAATCAAGAGAATTTGATCAAGATTCAATTGACTCAATAAATCATGCCTCAATCGATTATAATCAAACAATATAGCATCCAAAACTTCATACAAGAAAGATCCTAACACATGGAACTAGGGTTCCTCAAAACCTAAGTGAAGGGAAGTTACTCCATAGAGAAGAGAGAGACTGCAGAAATCTGATCTAGATCTTCAATCTTCATCTCCAAGCTTGATTCCCGAGCTCCAATGGCGAAGAAATCCTCCAAAATAGCTCCAAGAATGTTCCCAAGTCGCTCTCTCTAGGGTTCATCCCTTGGGTGTTTGGAAACCAAAAACCCAGCTCTCCCCTTTCCTTTTGCTCAAAATCGGGTTTTAACCAGAAATTTCCGATCACACGGCCAGGCCACACGGCCGTGTGACTTCCCCAGCTGCCCGTGTGACTTTTTTCAAACCGCGGCGTTTTGATAACTTGCCCAGCCTTCCCACGCGGCCACGACCCACACGGCCGTGTGGAGTTCCATGATGCCCGTGTGGGATTTACCGAGCCTTCACACGGCCACAAGAGGTCCTCTACACGTCCCGTGTGACTTTTCCCGTGCAATTTGGTGCCACACGGCCAGGTCACACGCGGCCGTGTGGGTTTTTAGGCATGCCCGTGTGGCTTGCTCAGCCTCTGTTTAATGCTTCTTTTCTCCCTCGTCCGGACTCCGAATCAGTCGCCGTTTGATCCCAGACGCTCGTAGTCTTGTCCTCTTTCTTTTCATGACAAAATTCCATGATTATTTGTCCATTATATGATGTAGAAGTCCATTATTCCTCAGGTCATGCTCGTGTTTCTTCTCCCGAATTGCCAAATGATCTCTGATTGACTTGAAACTTGCGCCTATGCTTCAATTTACATGGTAGGACCTGAAATGTGACAAAGGAACACAACCTAGCGTAAAATAGTCCAAGAAAGCAGAAAATCAAGCCAAAATGATCAAGAAACGAGGGTGCAAACATGTGCAAATCCGATGTTATCACCTACAAACACAAAAACAAAATCAAACAAACACAAACCACCCTTCAGGTCGAAGAGCCGGTGAACAAAACACAAAACTAAAACAATACGACCTAACCCTTTTTCAAATAACCTAGAATGGCTCCCCGACAAGAGAGCGAAAATTATGTCTCGATCTAACTAAAACATCCCAATCGTTGGCCAAGTATAACCGGCGACTGGATGCAGCATAGGGCAAGCAAGCAATAAGAATTTATCATACCATGGGGATCTAGGCTTACTCTACTTCAGGTTTAGGATTCGTTATCTAGGCAACCTAGAGTAGTGATTAGGAAACTAAGCTAACTAACCTAGACTAACCACTAACCTAGCCATTTACAAGGTTTGGAGCTCCCTTGGGTTAAATCCCCCTATTTCCGACCTTTGGATTGATGTTGAGTATCCTCCTAGTTTGATCGATCCACTATCCTACCGTTAGGAGATGAACTCCCTCGGAATGGACCCGGAAAGGTGAAGTGATGGATGGGTAGGAGCCCTATTCAACCTAGGGCACCCCTATATCGTAGGAGATCGATCCAATTGACTCACTCGGGGATTGCCCGGATGATATGGGTGAGGATTTGTTTCCCTCCTAGGTCAAAAGCTCGATTGACTCAATTACTCTACCGTTAGGAGATAGACTCCCTTGGGATGACCCGGAATGGCGAATCGATAAATGTGGTAGGCTCTATTCAACCTAGGGCAACCCTATATCGTGGGAGATTGATGGAATCGACTACCTCGATGATTGCCCGGACGATATATGGTGAAGAGTGATCTGAAGACGCCAATAATGGGCTCTATGGGGATTTTCTCCCTCCTAGATCAAAAGCTCAATACATGAAAATGGAAACCCAATTCATGTCATTCATGAAAACATCCATCAATTAAGTGAAATCATCAATCAAATATGGGATGTGTCACATACATCAAAATTAAATCCAAATATAGACCTAGGGTTCTTAAACCAAGAGAAGAGGGTGAGTCTAGAGAGAAAAGAGAGTAATTACAAATTGGAGTCCAAGATCTTCTTCTAGGCTTGAATCCTTGTCTTCAAGATCAACCCAAGCCTCCAATTAAACTCCAAGATCACTTAAGTACTCTCTCTCTCTCTCTCTCTCTCTCTCTCTCTCTCTCACTCACTAGAACTCCCTTTGGTGTTTTGGGTTGAAACCCTAGAAAGAGAATCGAATCCCTCTCCAAAAAACAGCTCCCCCTTTGTCTTCCTTATGTTGCTTCCTTTTATTCTCAGATCGAAGGTTGTTCACGGTCTGAGTTCACGGCCGCGAACTCAAAGCCTGGACTGTGAACTCGGCCAGAAACGCGCCGTTTTACTATAATAATTCACGTTTTGGAGCTGAAGTTCAAGGTCTTACGACCACGAACTAACAATTGTGTCCAAACAGTGACTTCGGGCATTTTTTCACTTTTTTGCGCTTTTCGACCTCCAATCGACCTGAAACTCGTCCTCGACCTTCCCACGCATACTAGGATCTGAAATGTAACAAAACAAACACAACGTAGCGTAAAATAAGTTGAGGGACGGTGATCTACTAAGCAAAACGGACAAGAAATGAGGGGTAAAATGTGTGCATTTGGACTCGAATCAAGCATAAGAGGGTGGAGCAGATCGCGGGCAAGAAGGGTCGAGATCGTGAGCGTGATCTTCTCTACAGAGGCCGCGATCTCGAGACGCTGTCGTTTCGGCCTTCGGAGCAGAGGAGTTCACGGGCTGACTTTGCGGTCGCGATCCACGAGTCGCGGTCGCAAACTTCCTCGCGTGCAGTTTGTGCTTCGGCCGTGTTCTGCCTGGGGAAACTCTCTGTTTCTCCTCGGCTGCTTCATCACGAAGTTCGCGTCCTGAGCCCTCCAGATCGCGGTCATGGTTCTCGGCCGTGATCTTTGGTTACAGGTTGCGATCTTCAGTCTCTGCCCCATTTGCTACACTTGTGACTAATTATTTTGTACTTAATTCGCATGTAATGTCTCAACCACCCAAAAATTACGTTGGAATCAAATATGAACGAAATAGAGATGCATTATTTGACACTTTTCAAACAATTATGCACATAAGTTGGCCCGAAACAAATCTTAATATGAATGATAAATAACACCAATTTAGTAGTTATCAGACACATGACGAGTAGAATAGCTTGACGAAAATCAGCAAGCTAGCTAGTTAGTTTGCAAACCAAAACCTCGTCTTCTAGATGCATGTAATACTTAATTTGTTGAGTCGGATGCTTCCACATTGTCAATGAAAGCTCATGAAACGACCTACCCGTTGTCTTTCCATGGAATAAAAAAAGCAAATCCCGTTAGCTGGAAATTAATGATGCCGCGGAGGTATTAGGTAAGTAGTTAAATACCAAACACACAATTATGATTAATTTGTTTGCCATGTTCCCACTTCATCTCTTCTCTTTCCCTCACAGATGAGAGTCTCCGCTGAGCTAGCCTAGGTAGCGTGTACAAGGTGCAATGAAGGTGGCTACTCTGGCCAGCCTGCTAACTAAACCAACCCATTTAACTAAAGCAAATAAACTATCAGCATGATCTCTCATTTTCCTTCCTCTCAATTTGTTTAATCCTCCGTCCATCTCTCTGGGTTCCTATATAAATTACACCTTTTCAATGAGGCTTTGCTATCAATCATCGCTCACAGTTCTAGCTAAGCTAATCTGTCATTTGCATCTAATTTAGCTTTCCCTGATCCAGCGCGTGCATATCGGAATATGGCCATCGCCGCCGCTCTCGTGGTCTTGCTGCTGGCCGCTCCGGCTGTACACGCCGCCCAGCACGACGTCAGCTGGAGCAATTCTGGTAACGTCGATTACAACACCTGGTCGTCCGGTCAAACGTTCAACGTCGGTGACACTGTTGGTATAGAGCTTCTCATCTCATCTCCTATTTGACTGTATCATTTTATAGCTAGTTAGTGTTACTTACTTTTGCAAAACGGTATACGATTCACGATTATTGAACATCTCCCAACAACTCGAGTTATTGGGACTAACGGGTTCTTGACATAGTATCAGAGTCTTTTGTGTGACTGTAAGTTCTTCTTCTGTTCGATTCCCGGTGATCCCATCTATTGCTGTTAAGCACACTGTGTCTGTCCAAACTCCAAACCTATTTGAATGGCTTGAGTTTGAAGAGGGGTGTTAGTAAAACGATATATGATCCACGATTAAACCCCTCCCAACAACTTGGGTTACTAGTATCAACTGGTATCTTGAGAATTACATCTTATCAACTGGTTATTAATATATAAATTAACTGTTGGTTTAATTGACAGAGTTCAAGTACAACAGCTTGTTACACAGCGTGGCGGAGGTATCGCAGAGCGACTACAACGGCTGCGACGCCAGCAACGCCATCCAGACCTACAGCGACGGAGACACCAGCATCACGCTCCCCGCCGCCGGCACAAGGTACTTCATCTGTCCCACCGCCGGCCACTGCAGTGGAGGCATGAAGGTGGCAATCAAAGTCGCCGGCGGCGGCTCCTCCGGCGGAGGTGGTGGGTCCCCAACTACCCCAGCCACCACCACTCCCTCGGGGTCCACCACCCCATCCGGATCGTCTACCCCAAATGCCGGCGGATCAAGCAGCAACAAGGAGCCTTCGCCGGCCGGCAGCTACGGCGGCGCCGCCGCTTCCGTTCTGTACAACCTGGTGTTTGGTTCCGCGGCCGTGGTGGCGACAATGGTTGCACTTTTGGGCTAGGAAAGAGGCAGTGCTTGTATGTTATTATGTGCTTGTTTTCTTTTCTTGTGAATTATTATTCTGTTCATCTTTAATTTCATCCATGCAATTATCACTAGTTCTGGCTGTTAATTAATTCCTTGAGTTTGAGATTGTGTGGAGGGGTGGGTTCTATTGATTACGTTGATCGGCTTTGTATCGTGACATATATATATTTCTTTGTTGAACAATTATGTCATTTCTACTATTAAATTTAGCATTCGGAGGATGACTCGTATTAGTTGACCTAATTCAATAAAAAATATATATATGTGATAACATACGGCAAATTCACTTATTAAAAAAAATGTAGGAAGGAGAATATTGCGTAAAATCGTTGTAATTTGAGTAAGGAGGTCAACGAGCCGGCCGCTTTGGGGTTGAGATAACTATTTCACCGTACAATTTTTATAATCCAAACCAGGGGGGAATCCAGAGTAGTGCATCCCCACTACGTACTAGAGCACATCTAGTTTGGTCAAGAAATTATTCACGTTTGGATAGTGTCAAGAAAAAATGGTTCTCGTATAAATTCTTCCTCATCCAATCCAAGCAATATATACAGATGAGAGCCACTCTATATTAGACAGAAAAAAAAAATTCTTACCGTACTTATCTGATAGATAACCCGAATCATATTTCCTCATATCTTTCCAATCCCACTACTCGGATAGTTATGACTTTGTTCTTTGATTGAAAACCAAATTTGGAGTTGATGTGCCCCTCGAATTGTTATGGAAAACGCTAAGAAAATAGGCGTGTACCCCTATTTTGTCAAAATAGAACCTGATTCGAGTAATCTGTCCGATTAATTTGATCCACAATCCCACATCACATACACATTAACTCACCTTCATTAGGCGGTGAAGCACCTCAAAAATACACATCACATTATATCACATCACATACACATCACATCCCATCACCTTCAATTGACAGTGAGGTACCTCAAAGTCCTATCCTCACCTTCAGTAGGCGGTGGGTTACCTCAATATGTATACATAGGCCTCATACATTTTCAATTCTCTTAGTTCAAATTTCTAGGAAAAGGGAATCCTCAAACATGCATTTTAATTGGAAATATATAACTTGTAATGAAAGTTTGAACTCATAAAACTTAACCTTAAAAACCTCTGCGTAGAATTTATCCCCTTTACACTCAACTCGAAAACACGACTCCTCGATTCCTTACTCGAAGAAATCCCTACTTCGCCCAATTATCTCGAGAAACCTATGAATCATAAATTCATTTTTAGACGCCCTTTCTCGATTTAAACCCCTTTAAATCTACGAGAAAACCCTCTCCTCAAAATTCAATCCTTGAACCTCTTTCCAAAGATCCCTTAACCTCATTAAAAATTTTATTAGAAATAATCCTTTCCAAAATCGACCTTTTTCCCATTAATTTTGTCTTGGACAAATTTGTAATCCAAATTAAAGCTTCTTAAAAATCCAGATCATACCTTTTCCAAGTTGATCATGAGAACTTATATCCTGAAAAGTTATCAAATCCTTAAGAACACATTGTCATGATTTTTATTTAATTAAAAACAACACTTGATCAATTTTTAAAAATAGTAAATCAACTTCACAAATTATCAAATTAAATCACAGGCACCTCCTAGACCTCCTTTAATTTTGAAAATTGTTAAACCTAGGAACAAACTCCTACAGAGGCTCGAAACCAGTTTTAGAACTTAAATGACGTTTCTGAAAATTTTCTACAACTTTAGTGGCCAACCAAAACTGTCACTAACAACCTGTAAAACCCGTTGCTAAAAAGCCAGGGTTGCACCCTCACGAACAATCACCAAAACAACCGATGTAATACAAATAGATCGAGTTCCCTTACCTCTAGAACGAGCCTAGGACTAGATCAAATGACTTGGGACGTTGATCTCCTCGTCGATCGATAGTTCTTTTACAAGGAATTGTACCTCCTTTAACTTGTACGACATTGAGCTATAAATATTTCTCTCCAATTAGATGTGATTCTTATAGACTTGTAGTTCACCCCTTTCTCATGGACAACTTGCTCAGCTAGCTACTTGCTCAATACGACTATTAAATTCTCCATTCAAAGACAACTACGATGTTGTGGTGGTTTCTCAAATCACCTTGTGATCAACGAGTTGTCTTAAGGTTTCCACTTATCATTCTTTAGACAACTTTGTCTAATAATTCACCAGTACTCTAACCTATGATGTTCTCCTTATCACGACTATTGATGCATCTCCTTGAACTCACTCTTCGTATACCTCATTACTCTACTCATGGCACACAAATAGTTCGATGCGACTGTCAAACTTCCTCCCCTATGAGGGTGCACAGTTAGTGTGACCAATCAATTACCTCACATAATTCTCCCTTTTCCATGCTTGATGTCTCTAGTGCGACATCCCACAAGTAGGGATGGCAATTTACCCACCCATGGGTAATTTTGCCCAAACCCAAGTAGACCCATTTATTATGGGTAGGTAGGGCTGGGAAAACGGTTGCGGTTTCGCAGTTAAACCGATAATCGCAGCGAAATCGCCCGGTTATTGGTTAACCGCAAACCGCATATTTTGCCTATTTTGCGGTCGCGGTTAGAGATATGGGCTGTTTTGCGGTTTGCGGTTTAACCGCAACCGAAACCACAAATCCATATAACCGCAAGGCTAACCGCGACCCAGACCCAGCCCATAATTGACCCCAGCCCAGCCCAAAGTTGACCCCCAGCCCAGCAGGCAGCAGCCCAAACTCGACCCGGCCCCTCCCCCACTTCTCTCTGCCGTCGTTTTGATTTGACGAAACAAAATTCGAAAATCCCCTTCGACCCTTCGTTTCGTCCCTTCCCACCAGCAACTGAAAACCCTTCGAGTCGAGCTTCGACCCTTCCCATCTTCCCGCTGCGGCTCTGCGCCGCTACCATCCACCCGCCGCCGTCCCTGGGCGTCCGGCGTGTGCATTTGTGGATTGTGTTATTTGGATATGCAGACAGATGCAGGGGCTTGATGGAAGTGAAAATAGACAAAACAGTAGCTGCTGTGTTTTTTTTTTCATGATTTTTTTGCGGTTAGTTCGCGGTTAATTGTCGGTTAGATTGCTTAACCGCGGTTTCGTATACTGTTTCGGTTGTTGCGGTTTTTACAACCATAAACCGTGGTTCACCGCTAACCGCGTTCTGCGGTTTTTGGTTAACCGCTAACCGTGAGGGACGCGGTCGCGGTTGGCTAATATGGGTGTTTTGCGGTTGCAGTTAACCGCAAATTGCGGTGCAGTTAACCGCAACCGCACCGTTTCCCACCCCTATGGGTAGGGTTTGGGTGATGTGTGTATGGGTTTGGGGTTTGTATATGGGTTTGGGTTAGATATGGATATTATCTAAATGGGTATGAGTTGGATATGGATATCCATTTACTTGAGGGTGTTTTAACTACACATGCAAAAATTGGACTTATTTGTAAAACTTGAAAAATTTAGGTACCAAAATGTAAGACCAAAAAAATTTAGGTACCAAAACGTAATTTTCCATCGATATTTTGAGGAATTATATGCAAAAAAATTAAATTTAGGTACTAAATATGCATATCTATTAAGTTTAGGTACCAAACTGTAATTTGTATTTGGGCATGGGTACAAACCCAAATCCATTTGTTATAAACCCAACCCAACCCAAAGTAAATGGGTATGGGTACAAACCCATCAAACTTTACCCATATCCATATATTTGGATTTCATACCCAACCCAATTGGGTTGGATAGTAAAATACCCATGGGTATGGGCAAAATTGTCATCCCTACCCACAAGACCCTTCATAACTTCTAGAGTGCCAACCTAGCTTCAGAGTTACTTCTTGACCCATCAAATCGTACGAGGTACTAAGAACATATATCTTAAGCATCCACTATATCTATAACACGGTCCATAAATAAATGATGCCCTTCGACCCTCACTATTTCTAATGACGCTCTATACTTCTCATTATAAGGTATTAACCTCCTAGAACACAGCTCCTGGTCCAATGCTGACCACGTAGGTCACCTTGGACTTCATATCTTCCAACATTTGCCTAAATTCTACACCTTTAGAGTTCATGCTTCTCCTGTCATAATAAATATGTCATTCTTCATAGTTCATCCCACCAATGCACTCAAAAGTGCGATTCTACTTAGAAGCGGAAAATGGGTAAAACATAAAGCGTAGAATCAAAGCGTAAAAACGTAAGTTTTTTTATGAATTCTCTAAAATAGTGAAAATATGTTAAGTACGACATATACCATGTAAAATGTGATTTTATATATTTAAGATAAGTGAATAAACACCTGCAATTCAATATTTAAAATGCAATTTCTCACACATTCTAATTTGTACAGATTCTAAAGTAGAACATACTCATAGCATCCTACAATAAATTCACAAATATAAATCGCAACTAAAACACGAGTTTAAGAATCCAAATTCTCACAAGTCACAAGCTAGATATTGTATTGCTTGCACTCGACATACTGCATAAAACAAAGAACAAATGATTATTATATAAGAACAAATGATTAATGTAATTCTGTAAAGCAACTTCAAAATGAATAAGTGAATAACAATTAACAAAACACAAGAAGACAGCAAGCTAAGAATGCACAACCAAATCTTAGCTCAGTTCCTTTAGAATAAAGAAGACAGCAAGCTAAGAGCTTACTATTTACTACCCGATGATTCCTGTAATACAAGAAAAGAATGAATCAACCAAATGATTACTCTAATACTCTTTTTCATTTCAAAGCTTATCGAGGCTGAGGAAATATATATAAGACCAGAGGCGAAGTTTGAGATGGCAAAGAAAACATAAGGGAGGCATCGTTGAGCTAACAACGAACGTCGGTCGGAGCTGGAAGGATGCAGCGGTGGAGCGGTGGTGGCAGCGCCGAGCTATCAATTTTATTTTGAAATTTTTATAACCAAAACGGCGTCACTTTAGTCAAATTAGAACTTTTATGGTCACGCACTAGAATCGCACAAAATCGCTTTAAAAATGCGATTTTGTCCGTTTTTACCGATTCTACGAACGATTTTACCGTTTTTATGTACAAAACGATTTTAAGTGGAAAATGATTTGTTTTAGTGACCAAAATATGTAAAAACGTATGTTTTTACGATTTAAAGCGCGATTTTGACTGCACTACATCCCACATTACTTGTATAACCATATTTCCCGAATCACGTGTTCACGACATTTGTAAAGCCTCGTAAGCCCATTATCGTGGCAAAATTCATTCTGTTAGCTCATTGTCGGTGACATAGTAGCTAGCGTCGCACCAGGCTTTAATGCTACCATGTGCTTAGACCACCTTATAATGTGTTTGGTTTGAACTCTGATATCATTTCTTTAAGGCTTTGGTCATGTAAGGATCAAACTTTTCCTCTACATCCCTTTGTCTTACTTTACTTCGACATTTTTCCCTGCTCCTTTAAGCATTTCACTCGGTGTAGTCCTCTAGATTCCAAGATGATCTTCCTCACTTAAATACTTTGACCCATAATGTTTTCATCCTCGACATATTGAGAAAAGCTTACTTTCACCTTAAAGTTGACCGATGAGCTTCTTAATTCTCGATGGACTTCCTATGATCCAATTGTTCTCTGCTGGCAGTCACCTTAATATTTCCTTGCTGTCTTTCGTATTCTTTCATTGCTTGTACTCGGCCAATAGGGACGGTGTCAGCGATGCCTTCTTAGCCTCTTCACCCTCTCCTTCCTAGGATTCTTGTTCATTGACCTTTGGAGGGGCTTTCTCCTCTTCGATTCTCTCCTTAGTAACAATATCCAGAGTTACCTTCCTGCTCCTCAAAAGAATTGCATTCAACCCGACATTTTGATCTTTGGGGTTGGCATCAATTTGGGAAGGTAAGGCTCCTATAGGTCTTTGTGAGGATTGCATCAAGGTTGCCAATTTGGGTCTCCAAGTTTTGTAGACTCGCTTGATGACTTCTTAGATCCGCCTCAACCGAAGTGAACTTGTTTTTTGCAACTTCCATGAATTGCTCAATCTTCTAAACTTCTGAGAACTTGTACTCACAAAGGTGGCGACTAGGTCTTCTACTTTTGCAACCTTGTCGGGTTGTTGTTGTTGTTGAAATTGTTGTTGTTGAAAGTTCGACTTGAAATTGTGGCCTTTGTTGAATGGAAGGAGGCCTTGGTTGATAGTTTCCCATTGGCCCTTGGAAACCTGGAGGCCTTGGATTGCTTAGTGAAGACCATGCAAAGTTGGGGTGGTTGCGCCAACCCTGATTGTAGGTGTTGCTCTAGGGGTTGTTGTTAGAGTTAACCCCACTAGCATTACCGATAAAGCTCACTTGCTCTTCTTGAGTGCTTGCTTCCTTCATCAATTGACACTCCGTATCTCATGGTTGGGACTTGAACACCAATCACATGCCGTCACCGGCTTCTTGCCTTGATTCCTATCTTATAGGAGGGTTGATATCAACTCATTAATCTTCACGATGAGAGGAGGATTCGCCTCAATGAAGTGTACTCCCTTCTCGCTTGTCCTTCTCCCAGTCTCGTCAAACCTAATCATAACCCTTTGTGGCCATATCCTCAAACAAATTGTTCATCTCGGGTGGAGTCTTGTTGAGCATGTTCCTTGACACAAGGAGTCAATGAAAATATAATCTTCTAGATGGAGACCGTCATAGAAAGTTTCAATCCGGTACCTCTCTCCAAACCCGTGGTGTGGATATTGGAGGAAAAGGTTTGAGTATCTTTCCCATGTATCCGTCCTCTTGGGCAAAGTGAGTGATCTTCTTACGCCATTTTGCCATCCAGTAAGGTGGACAATACCGGTTGATGAACTTGTTCAGCAAGTCACTCCATGAGGTAATCCAGAAGGGTGGCCTGTTGTTCAACCATTGTAGCGCTTTCCCTACAAGAGAGTAGGGGAAACGCCTCAACCGAAGGGCTTCTTTGGGTATCCAATTGATCTTCAAACTTCTTGCTATGAATTTATGGACATGCTCCATTGGAGACTCATCCTTAAGCTCATGGAACTTAATGTTCAATTGGATCCTGGTGACGAGGCCGGGTTTAATCTCAAAGTTGTTAGCGGCCACAGGTGGATGCAAGATGCTTGATTGAATATCCGCCGTCTGTGAAGCAATGTAATAAACCCATGGTCCTTGGTTCTTCATTTCCTGCTTGGGCGTCCTCGTTCTCCGCCATCTCAACTTCAACTTCTTCTTCCGATTGAACTTCCTCCTCTATTCCAACTTCAACTTCTTCTTCGGGATCAACGTGTGGTTGTCCCTAATTCACCAATCCTTCCCTTGCTTTCCTCAACTCTCTCACACGAGCCAAAAGTCGGAGAGTTTGGTTGATGTTCTCGTCTAGTCGCTTCAAAGGTGTCGGATTACTCCGAGTCATACACCTCTTGCACACACTTCACAGGACACAACTCGAGCCAAAACAAGCAAGATTCATAAACACAATGCAAAAATTAAAATCTAGATTAACACCAAACGAATTTTTCTCAATAATGGACCGTAAACGAGTTTCCCAGCAACGACACCAAAAACTTGACTCGCTCCGACTACACCAATAAATTCCCAACTAGAGCTCAAGTTTAAACTCTAGGAGGGTGTAGTATATGGCAAGCGTTTTAAAACATCAACCCGAGCCGATTCACGTACTCCTACTTCAATCGTTTAAAATGTTATCTAACAATCGATTTTGAGTGAAAACTAAGGACTACAATTTAAAACAAGCAATAAGTTAAATTGTTGTGGAGTCCATATGAGAAAACTTCACCCGGGTATTGCTCCCCCTAACCTTGTATCAAGTTGCAGTAACGGAACTCTAGTGTGAAATAGTATGCTCTTATACCGTGAGGATAACACAACTAGTGGAGAATTATACTCTCTTAGGAAATCGATTAAAGGAAAGCAATTAAGCTAGGAAACCTAGTTCTCTTAATCAATCGGCTAAGGATTGCTAACCATTTCTCGGAGGTTAGTCCGGAATGGCAACAAAGCGATAAAACACAATCAAATCGTGACGCTAAATCAATGCTTGAGGTGTGTCCCTAATTACCCTAGAAGGGTTTACCCAATTTGCCAAGAAGTGGGCAAGGAGGGGATTTCCTACTTCTAGGTCAATTTGACTCAAATGAGATATGAAACCCATCACTCACAAATCATAAAATACCTCAATCATTATATTAAAACAAACAATCATCACACATAGAGTTCAAATCTAACAACCTACTCCATCTCTAGGCTAGGGTTCACAATACCCAAGTGAAAAAGAGAACTACTTCATAGCTAAACTAGGGATTACAACAAAGAAGAGAGAACGAACCAATGTGTGGTGTTTGAATTCCTTTCTTGTTGTTGAAATCACATTTGGAAGAGGAAAAACCTTCAATCCTCTAGTTTGGAGCAAAACCTAGACCTCTTCTTCTCTCTTGGTTCGTCAATTTCTCTCTCCAAAATCAGAAGAAGATGATAATATCTCACTAGGATCCCCCGTTCAAGTTTCAACTCCCTTCTCCTTTTATACCCAGGTCTCGCACATCACGGTCATTTATCACGGGCGTGATCTCGAAGCTTGGACCGTGATGTCGGGTAAAAACGCACCATTTCATTTACGGCCTTCACGGTCTGGACAAGATTATCGCGGTCTGGCGACTGTGATAACTTTTAGTCCCCCGACGTGCGCAAAATTCTCTATTCGTCGCCGAGCTTCATGGTCTGGCCCTCTTCTTCACGTTCGGTTGATCGTGATAAAGTTGCTCTAACTGTGATCTTCGCCTGGTTGCCCTTTTCGATCCGCTTTCGCCCTCTTTCGTTCAACTTTCACTTCCAAGGCCAATCTTACCTGCTAGAACCTGGAAAAGGATAAAAATATGCACAACCTAGCGTAAAATCGAACCTCAAGGATGTAAACGTCTCAAACACCATAAGAACACGGGGTGAAAACATGTGCAATTAGACCCGAATCACTAATATTTTGATGCATTACAAAAGATTTGGCTAATTTTAAGTAATTTAATAGGTTTGGCTAATATAAAAGAATGCAAGAAAGGTTTGGCTAATAATTAGTGTTTATCGAAATTCATTGATGAGGTGGCAGCTGAGTTAGACGCTGATGTGGAGCACCGTTAGAAAAATAGTTAACGGTAACAGACTAATGGTTGTTAGTTTGAGGTGTTACAAAACATTTGGCTAATTCTCAGTATTTCAATAGGTTTGTCTAATAAAAAAAAATCCGAAAAAAGTTTGACTAGTACATAATGATTATCCTTAAAAAACTATAGGGTTTTGACCGAAAAAAAAAATGAAGCAGAGTTGGGCCACACGACCCAAAGAAATAACTATTAGGGCCTAGATATCCAAGTCGCACCAACCCAAAACGCGGTCCGAAAACTCACCTGATGACGTAATGGGCTTGAAGTAGGAAACCGACCTAGATCCATCCCGGAGAGCTGTTCCTGCTCCTCTGCTATTGCCTTGAAGAACGAAAGAACTATTAACCTTTTCCTCTTAGTTTCCTTCCTCTTCTCGAGCTGCGATTTTGAACTCGAGGGAATCGAGGGTGAAGACAGTGCTGGCGCGAAAAAATGGCATCGGAGGATGAAGGAGAGTTTTACCTTCGTTATTACGTCGGCCACAAGGGGAAATTCGGTCACGAGTTCTTGGAGTTCGAGTTCCGGCCCGACGGCAAGCTGCGGTACGCCAATAATTCCAACTACAAGAACGACACCATGATCCGCAAGGAGGTCTTCCTCTCCCCCGCGGTTCTCAAGGAGTGCCGCCGCATCATCTCGGAGAGCGAGGTTTTGCTTGCTTTCATTTCTCTTATTCCCCTCTCTATGTCGCTTTCGCTTATCTCACACCTCGATGTATTTAGGGTTTCACCCGTGGTTCCTTGAGTCGTAGATGCTATTACAACAGCCCTGAAGTTTCAATTCAATGAAACATTCCCTTGTTTGGGACTGAACCTTATCTCACTCCTCGATGTATATAGGGTTTCAGTTGTGGTTCTTCAGTCATTGATGTTATCACAATAGCTCTAAAGTTTTCAATTCAGGAAACAATCCCTTGTTTTCATGGCGTTGTGAACCTTCTAAAAGTTATTATTATTGGGTTTTGGTAAATTATGAAGGAAGACGATAATAACGTGCCGGAACCATATCTCAGTCATCGATGTATATAGGATTTCAGTTGTGGTTCCTTAGTCATAGATGTTACTACAATATAGCTCTTAAGGTTTTCAATATAGTGAAACAGTCCCTTCTTTCCATGGTATTGTTTTGTTTTGTTTTTTTCATTTTGATAATGTTTTTTTCATTGCACATTGTTAACCTCGTAAAATTTATGATTGGGTTTTGGTAGATCATGAAGGAAGACGATAACAACTGGCCGGAACCTGATCGGGTTGGACGTCAAGAGCTTGAGATAGTGATGGGGAACGAGCACATTTCCTTCACTACCTCCAAAATCGGTTCACTTGTTGATGTACAGAGCAGTAAAGACCCTGAAGGGCTTCGCATCTTCTACTATCTTGTTCAGGTCAGCTGGCTGCAGCTTTTCGTTTGAAAGTTTGTTGCTTCCGAATTTTATGATGAGTATTGGGTCTATGGCATATATAAACTGTATCTCTTATCATGTGCTAAGTAGTTGGGATCACATCCTTAGAACTGAGAACTGTATGTTTTTCGTTTTCTTTTGTAGTTTGAATCCCAAACTCTTTGGTCTTCCTGTTGAGTTTTTTTTTTTTTATAATTTCACTCTACTCCATTATATACTGCCATCATTTGGTTTCTCATGATATTGTTTACATGGTTTAACACCTCCAGATAAAAGCAATCTGCTCTTCCATATTATCTGAAACCTTCATCCTGGTTTACTCTGATGATGGGGGTCATGATGATTTCATGCTTTGCAGGATCTGAAATGCTTTGTGTTCTCCCTCATCTCGCTTCACTTCAAGATCAAGCCCATCTAGTTCACATTGTGTATGGCGTCGGCTGGGATTCTGCAACCAAGTTTTTGGTGCGTCTAATTCTGTTTCGTTTGATCTCTTTGAAAATAGTGGTGGTTATTGGAGCTTTGAGATAGTTGTTTACTGTGGTGAAAGCATGGGGACTTGTTGTACCGTTGTGCGTGAGTGGACTTTGTCTTTGAGGGAGCTTCAGACTAGAACTATGCTGTCATATATGTGAGTCCCTCCATATTATTTGACATCTCTCTAATGTAAAACTGAAAAGACCAGATCTCTCTTATTATGCCAAAAACCTGGTTCAACCAGTTGAAAGTTCCTCCTATACAGCGTCAAAACTCTGCTAGTTTTACAAAGGAACTGTATCAATCGGATGTCGGATGAGCATAGCTGGAGAGGACTTCTCAAGTTTCCATCCAGCTCATATTCCCTTTCCATCACAATGTTTGTGTCTTCATTCGAGTACCAGCCATAGTGATGGCAATGGGTCGGGATGAGTACCTCAATACTCATGTCCCGCCCCACGCTACTACGTGTCGGGGCGGTTAATACCTGCAGGGCAGATACATGGATCTCTAGGGGTGTCTCGGGACATCCCTAAAATTTGGGAAAACGATTATCCAACCTTCGGTAATAATTTCGTATGGGTATACAAAATATAATTGGTGATTCGGGACACCCTAAGACTGGCTCCAACCCAAGGAGCTAAAATGCTAAAAAGCCAAATTTTGCTCTTTTTCAAGCTTCAACCCACAAAAAGTAGGCTGTCAAATTTGGGTAAGTTGGTTTAAAGAGCTAAATTTGGCTTTCTCTTGGGCTGAAATGCCAAATTTGGCTGGACAAAAAGTGGTTGCCCCGCTAAACACACGTCCGACATCTGTCCGCCACAACTACTTTTTTTCTTTTTCTTTGCTAAACTCACAATTGCCGTCTCGTGGACATTAAATTTGGAGGCTGATTTGGGCTATAATAAAGATTAAGTCCAACGAAGCAAATTAATGGCTAATCTCCAACTTAATGCTAACAAATTAATGACTAATCTTCCAAAAAAAATTGTCTTGGAATTTAAAAAAAATTCATCAAAAAATTTGTCTTCAAAAGTATTAACGAACTATAAAAAAATGAAGTGAAATATAAAAATTAGTGACCAAATAAGTATGTTTTATTCAAATAAATTGAAAAGGGAAGGTGAGAAGCTAAATTTAGCTTTTTGTAGGGTTGGAGTGAAAATGAGATTTGGGAAGCTAAAAAGCTATATTTAACTATTTGGGGAGCTAAATTTGGCTTTATGGTTTGGAGTTAGTCTAACATTTGAAAAAATGATTATCCTACCCTCGATAATAGTTTGCTATTGATTAACAAAATATAAGTGGTAGTCCGTGTTATTCCAACATAGGACACTACTATTATCAAACATATTCTAATTATGTTGCTACTCATTTTTTATTCTATTTTAAACATCATGCAACAGTAAAACGCTATTTCTTTATCCCCAACTATTTTCAATACCTAATAATTAAACTACGTACACGCTACCCTTAATTTTGAATTGATTTTATGGTTACACGGCAAGTGTTGAGAGAGTCTTTTCTACTTTGAGCTACATTAAGAACAAGTTTAGAAATCGAATATGCGATAAGTTCGTGAAGTATTGTCTAGTAGGATATGTAGATTTTTTTTTGAATAGTGCAGACACGGAGTTTATTTTATATTATTTTTTTCAAAATATGAAAACACATCATGAATTTTAATAAAAAAATTTATACACGTATAATATTTTTAATATATGAATTATTTAATTTATTATTTAATTAAATTTAATTTTTGAAGAGGACACCCCTGTGAAAATTTTCTGAATCCGCCACTGAATAATCGTGCGGGTACAAGGCGGGGTGGGCAAAGACTTCGTGAATGAATAATAGTGATAATATAATGGGTAATTGAGTCTATTTAGTTGAAAGATCAAGTCTAATTAGTTGAAGAAAAGTCAAAATTGAAGATATATAGATGGATGTCGTAAGAAATTGACCTGAAACGGGTAAAGAACGGGGCGGGTCGGGGCATGATGGGTCATAAGGTTACACTCATGCCCTACCCTGTACCCCATGCTACTGCGCGTCGAGTAATATCTGCTCCATCACGGGGCAGGTCGGGTAATATCCGGCGGGATGAGTTCAAAATGTCATCCCTAGTACGGCCAACACCAATGCAAAGGATGCCTTGTTGACATCGACATAAGCTATCACACCACCTGGGAGCCAAAGAAGCGTCAAACATCTCTTCACCAAAATAATCTGGATTTCATGGCAAGCAACAATTTGTCCAGGTCTCGGTACAAAGGTAGACATACGGAGAAGAACCATTGCCATTGATATCTGGCATAATCTCTGCTACGAAAATTGGAGTAGCACTCATCTGAAACACCTTCCAAGATCCTGTGACCTCTGATGGCCGAGTCCTTCTCCGCTGACAATATGGCTTTAAATCGAACTCTGCATCACTGCCTCTGCCACCATATAAATATGCCATGTCAAGTTGTTCATGACAATGAGCTGCAGTTTTGGATTCAGTTCTCTAAAATTAGAACTCGGGTCATCTAAATTCATGGCAACAAGTCAGCAGTTAATTTGAGCTTGACAGAGACAACCCGAACTTATGAAAATGCCAAGTATTTAGCGTGGTGACGTGCCAGGTTCAAAACTCAATGGTCAATTGGTGTGGTATGGTTCCATTGAATTTTGACCTAGTAGCTCTCTGGGACAGGAAGCCTGGCCGGAGACGTGCCTGTAAGGTGAGTTCCGCCGGCGAGGATTGAAGGAGCGTGAGATAGAGGGTCACCGACTGTTGAGCTGGAGAACTTGATTAGGTTTCTTTTACTGAATCGCTAAATGTCGCCCTAAGAATTGCTAAACGTCGCCCTAACTTAAATGTCATATTACCTATATACCCTTAATGAAAATTGAAAAAATAGGACAACCAAACAACCCTTTACCTTTCCCTCGGCAGCAGACGAATCCACAAACCTTCCACCCTCTCCGAGTCGCCACCAGCGAACCCCTCCCCCTCTGCTGTTCCTGTCGCCGGCCTCCTGCTCCCGTCGTTGCCACCGTGTCGCTCCCGTCGCCGGCGACCTGCTCTGCCTCCTGGTCCACCGACGCGCAAACGAATCCAAACAACCCTTTACCTGTCGCGCGCTCGCCGCCGGAGAAGAAGAAGTCTCCTTGCCCGCCGGAGAAGAAGAAGTCGCGCCCTTTACCTGTCGCGCGCTCGCCGCCGCCGGAGAAGAAGAAGGTAAAAAAAAAACCGTGCCGACCGCAGTCAAACCGCGGTTAGACCGACGGTCAACCGCGGTCAACGCGCTGTTGAACCGACGGCTGACCGCGGTCAAACTGCGGTTGGACCATGGATGGACCGCAAATCACCTGCGGTTGGACCATGGCTGGATCGCAAATGACCCGCGGTCCAGCCATGGTCCAACCGCAGGTCATTTGCGGTCCATCCATGGTCCAACCGCAGGTCATTTGCGGTCCAGCCATAGTCCAACCGCAGGTGATTTGCGGTTCCTTTTTTTTTCCCTTCGTTTTTCAGTTAATGTATTTACCTCGTCGGAGTCGCTACTCATGATTCAGACGTCCTATCGACGATATCGGCTTCAAAATGACGATGATAGATTTTTCTTTCCTTGGATAGTGTTTTTTTAGTCCAAGTGGTGTTTGTTTGATAAAGAGAAGGTAAAGAAGATAGGGGGTTATAATTGTAACTTTAAACTTTTTTAGGGCGACTTTAGCAATTTTAAGGGCGACCTTTAGCAACTCCCTTCTTTTAACCTCAACGTGAATTCCCCTCTCGACGAGAGTGGTTAGGGTGCTAACTTCATAGTAGTTAGCACCGTACTAACTACTCTAATTACTGTTCATTCTTTTAAGTTGAATATAGCGGTGGCTAATAGTGAAGGTGCTTGTTTGGTATTTCACTAAATTCAAAATAATACATAAATAAAAATATAAAATATCTTTTATCTCTCCTCTATTTATTAGTCCTTTTCTACCGGAAAAATTACTAACTAATTCATTACTATTTTCTCAAGTTCTAGGGTTTGAATTTGCTACCAAGCAGCTCTCCTACTCCTCGTTGAACTAGGAGTTTTGTAGTATTAATATTGCGCCTCTCCATCTCGAGTCTTCAGACCGCAAGTTCGGCAATAAAGGGAGTTTCAAAATCTCAGAGCGTTTTCCCCTATTTTCTTCCTCCTGCGGTAGGGTGCAAGAGAGAGTTCCTTCTTAGTTAGTGTTTCCGACAGAGAGGGTTCGCTGGTGCACTAACCTGTGCTGCATCCAGTGTTCTAGTCCGGAAGAGTGATTGTTTTTCTTTCGGTAACATATCTACATTTTTCCTTGATTTGCTATTTCTATTGGGTACAGGAGAACAAATAACTTTTACAACAAGTGACCATGATGAACCAACCAGCAGAAGGGAACAATATTGCTGCTTCCGAGCCAGTGCCAGGGAGTGGTATTTGATAAATATCGAATAAGAACGAGAAGCAATAAACAAGAGACGCAATGTTTACGTGGTATCCCCGAAGTGTCGGGACTAGTCCACGGGAGATGGAAGCCTCTCCAGCTACTGATCTTATTGATTGATGACTTAGTTAGCCAACCGGCTGTACACTACAGTTTATTTAACTAGATACAGTAGCTAGGGTTTTATTATGAGACAATGCTCTTTCTACACTACACGAGGAAGAAGGACTCTTGTCCATGCAGCTGACGGCAGGCCCATCACGAGGCTCGGACTCGGGCTGACCCAATGGTGACTCGGGCTGGCCCAATAGTATTACCCCAATACAGGAATCGAGTGTAGGCGGTGAACGTCAGGAAAAAACACAGAAAGCAAAACTTGAAGTCCTGGCCACCCAGATTGAGAAGGTCCCGATAGTTGAGGAGGAATCGCTGGTTATTGAGGAGCAGGATTACGACTCTGCCCTAGTTAGGGCTGTAAGTTTGCTGGGTCTCGTCGGCAGACTGGTATCTGAGAAAAAAACCTAATGGAAAATCCATGAAGATAGCATTGAGCAAAGCATGGAGTCTTAAGCAAAATTTTCAGATTACGGATATTGAAAACCAACTATTTGCATTTCAGTTTCTGGAACGAAGTGATAGGGACAAGGTGATTCATGGGGGTCCATGGCATTATGATAACAGCCTCCTAATTTTCAAGTCAGCGAATCCATTCAAAAAGCTAAAGAAAGAGGAGTTCTACATGATGGATATCTGGATACGTATATACGAACTACCAGCTGCCCTAAGAACACAAGAGATGGCTCATAAAATTGGGCAGAGGTTTGGGAAGCTAGTTTGGGTGGATAGCCGAAG